GTTAGGATCTTAGTGATATTGAACATAACGAGGACAACCCAGAATTACACAATCTGCAGTATGACCATGAGGCCTTCCTTGGCAAAGAACTCGCGGCAGAATTCGACAAACTCACAGAGGCAGAAGCTAAGGAACGTCTTGTGTAATGTTCAAAGTCTCACTTTTAATTAAATTTAGGCAACTTTTTCACAAAATAAATCAAGATGGTGACAACGCTTTGTCAGAAGCTGAACTGAAACGTTGGATTGCATTCGTCTCGAAAACTGCTGTCCGCGTAGATGCCACAAGGCACTGGAAAAACCTAAACCAGAACAAAAATGAACCTCTGGCTTGGAGGGATTATCTTGAAAGAACTTACGGCATGGAAGATGGTGAGTAATGTTTCAGACGTGCCTTCTAAATTTGCTTGATTTTGATTAACTGGGCGGCCTTTCCTCTCTTCATCTCTACTATTTATATCAAGAGTATGTCATTTTTTCTCCTAAAGCCAGACTGTATTTATTTTTAAATTGAATGCGTTTTAACCTAATAAACATTTTCCTTTGCCCATTCACCAATTTTGAGCATTTTCCTCAAAATCATCCGATAAACCGCCGTTTGACAGAACTAACGAAAAACCTCGTAGTGGTTTATTTCTATGTCAATCATCAATGTAGCGTTTTGGTAGAAAAGTGGTATTTGGTTCGCTTACTTCCTTGTTAGTGCTTCTATTGTCACGTAATCCCTAGGTTCGTTAAAGTTTTAACTCGTAGTTGATCTGACTGAAAAGCGAGAGCGCTGAGCAGGTTATATAGACGTGAAAGGTCTATTGTTACTTAACTGGCAGCTGGAAAGCGCGAATCTTTTTAAGAATCATTTGATATTACGCGTACGATAGATAAATTCACCTCTGTTCACGAAGCTAAAATGAATGCCCTCTGATGGATTGAGAGTGTCTCCTCGGTTCAAGTGGTTATTACACGGTTCGCTCACAAGTCATTGTTATTTGTATCGGTAGCATGTGTTATTGACATGTTCTACGGTTGGGACAATAGTTAAGATAAATTTGTGTATAAACGTTTACCCATTATCTAGAATAGACTTTACTGTACTCGTAGCTACTACATTAAACATAACTTTCTGCCGAGCGTAGGAGGAAACTTTTTACAAATTAGTGTAAAAGTTCGCGTTCGGTTTTGGGGTATGCCGTGTTCGTCCGCATTAGCATATTCCACTTTAGTACGACAGAACTACTCTAAAACAGTGATAGCATATGTCAGATTGCGCATCAGTAGCTTATTACCATACTGTTTATGAGTGTCTCTCCCGCAATTGAATATTCGGGAATGGCTACAGGTTTTCTTATTTGGTTTGCTGAGGGGGTTGCATGGCTTCTGTAGTCCATGCTATCAAAATGAACTCAATTTAAGTACAAGTCAAGTCAAGTTTATTAAAGGAAATATAGGCAAACGCCTATGAACCCCCTCTTGGTACATAGGATTTAAGAAATGCATCGGCACAGCCGAACATTCCA